TACGTATTTATTATCAACATGTTCCTGTTCATTGTGTTGGAAAACAGGAAGCAGATTTCCTGTTCATTTTGACACCCTTGTGTCTGCAAGAACCAAATTCTACTGCAGGTTTTTTGGGGGCTCAAGGTGTCCATTCCACTGACCCTGCAGAGGGCTTACTGCTTTTTTCCAATGCTTTCCCTCACTAGGCAGTTGTACAGGGAAACAGGCCATTGCTGCCAGTGGAGAGAACAAGTATTTTTGAATGGGGTTTTCCTCATAAGGTCATTGTGCATGAGTTAGCAATGCATTGCGTACGCACAGTGATTTTGGCTTTTTCAAATCTCAAATATTTTGCTCAGCCTAATTGGGGAAGGAGACGGAAAAGGGCAATGAAAATTTGAGCACTAAATGTATACATGGACACAGTCCGAGTAGATAGCATCTGAATTTTTTTTTTAAAAATACATGGGATTCATTAATGACTCCACATGCCTTTCCACCCTTCCCCTTTCCAAGGTACCCCTTGGCAGTGAGATCTTTTGGGTCTTGAATAACTCATGGGTCAACTATACTGGATTGTTCAGTATTCCAAAAGGATGTCAGACTCTGCAAACCAGGAAACTAAGCCCACATTCTTTTGCAATTCTAAACACAGTACTAGACTTAAATGCAAATGAATCCTTACATCATGTCCTAATATGGAGAAACAATGGATGTGGTGGGGGGGGGGGTGGTTTACAAGAGCAGGACATTTAGAAACAGCTTCTGTCTACTATTTAGCAAGCTGCAGCAGCAAACTTCAAAACAGATGCTAATTTTGCAATAAAGGCCTAAATAAGGCTCTTTCAAGTTTTGTTCCCCATCTGCAAGCTTTCAGGAGCAAAATCTGTGTCTCCTCTTTGGCCCTGAGCAGGACTAACTAGAGTGTGACAATGAGCAAGATTAAATCTGTATTAAGTAAAAGAAAGAGTCTATGCACACGCAATGCCATCCAATCCAGTTCTTGAAAGCGTTACTTAGTTCCTAGTCAGGAGGGGAGTTGAAAATATGAAATATCAATTTTTTGGGAAATTAACCGAAAGCAGAAAATCTAATTTCCTGCTTTGGGAGCTAAAAAAATACGATAGTGCAAGTACTCATCAACGACTGTACAGCAACATAATATTACAGATTTGTAATTAACTTTATAACCTACTTGTTTTAATCCCTAAGACGACCGAATAAAGTGCTACAATTCTACTTTAATTAAATTAATTGATTTACATCTTCATCTGCAAGGATCTGCCTTTGCAGTCAGAGGCAGGAAGATACAGGAACTGTTCTGGCATGATGCCCAGATCTAACCAGCAAATCTCTGTACTGGTCTTAAACAGATAGCTGGCAGTGTCACCACAGATTCCAATCTGGGGATTGCTCCAACAGAGAGAACTTGTGTTGAGGATAATACAGATCACGGAATGGGAAGGAATCCTGTAGCTGCACAATGCAAGACTTCTCAAGCCATGTTATTGTGAAGAGGCTATTCTCCAGAAATATACCTGCCTTTCCTTCTTCAGCAGCAGCTTTCTCCTGCAGATTAACAATCTTCACCAGACAGTTGGGTTAAAAGGCATCAAAGCTCTATTTAGTTTAGCAACATTCTAGTTTATTGAATTACAAGAAAGTTGTGGTCATACATTCTGAATGAATAAATCTGAGGAAGAAAATCTGAGTGTTAATGCGATCAACACTGCAGAGATTCACTGGAGGATAATGATTTCTTCATTCCAATCTGTGTTTTGGTTATAGAAAATCTAGTCTCGGTCATATATGCAATTAAATCAGTCTGATCATAAGTGAATAACTTTAAATCAGAGAGATATACACTTATGACTGTGTTTTTCTTTTAAGTTTGCACAGGAAAGTGGAAAACTTTCAGCCTTTTAATACAAATTTAGATTGCTTTAAAGGGCGCGCCATCCTGGAAAAGTGAACACTACTGTCAGCAATTTTGAAACTTTCCGAAATATATTGTTACTGTAAAAGCAACTGGTGTCTCTAAAACCACCCCGCTGGATAACCCCAGCTATGTAATTCTTATTCTGAGAAGGTCTTTTATTAAATAATACGACACCTTAAAAAAAAGTGCAGAATCCATGCTTTGCATTTTGTGCTGTCCGTACATTTTAGATCATGAATTGACTATTGCTGCATTTTAAGATATTTCTACATTTAATCCACACATTATTTTGGTTAAGCCTACTTAGTTATCGTTTATACCACATTAACACTTCTGAGACATGTGCAGACAGGACATTTTTAATATTACAGAATTGTTGCTGGAATTGTTTTTTTTAAAAACTGGACAATTCTTTCCACTGAATTAGTCAAAGAAGCCTAAAATGGTTCAGAGTACTCATAGGAACCTGTGCTTCTACTTCTTGACAACATTGACTGGTATTTATGAACAGAGTGAGTGGGGGGTCAGGTTAGGGTAAGGATTAGGGAGGAATTTCTTCTCCCCGCAGGTTGTGAATCTGTGGAATTCTTTGCCACATAGGGTTGCTGAGGCTGGGCTGAAGCTGTAATAGATTTTAAACAGCAAGGGAGTCAAGGGTTATGGGGAAAAGGCAGGAAAGTTGAAGATTATCACATCAGCCTTGCTCACTGAATGTAGCAGCAGATTCAATGGGCTGAATGGCCTACATCTGCTTCTAGGTATTATGGGATTAGAGTCTTAAAAGCTGCCAAATTGGATTGTTGATGACAGTAAAAGTGGAAACGATCTCAATGCCAGGTCTTTCAGTTCCTGTTAGCTGACTACTTCTGATAGCTGAAGAACAATGATGTGATGGGACACTAGATTGCTGTTTGAATATCACACTTGGAACCATGTCCCAGCAAGACTTGGAATCTTCAGTGAATGTGAAAAGAAAACATTAGGGAAGAGAACACAAGTTCTACTACGGAGAGTAGATGTGCTCAGCTGAGGACATCGCAAACACAGTTTGTTTTGAGCTACAAATGTATTCCCCCATGTATAAATGCGAAAATCATGCTCATCCTTCCAAACATATCTATATATTTTTTATTATAATTTATCTATCCAATTTCTGTATTTCACAGTCAAGTCTTGCAGGGAATTAACAAAACCAGATAAACAGTTACCGTACAACTCTCATTCCTTGTTATAACACTTCCAACAGACCCATCCCCTCCCACCTCAACACACAACAATAATAACATGTACACAGAATAACAGGTCAAAAGTTATCAGATAGGTGGGAATATGGAGTTGCCACTATCAGATGAACCTTGAGGTTACTGAATGGTGGAGTAGACTTGAAGGGGCTGAATGGCCTACTCATGCTTCAATTCATTGTTCCCTAATTTATTAATCATGAAGCCTTAGCAAGTTGTGTGTGTGTGTGTGTGTGTGTGTGTGTGTGTGTGGGTTTGTGTTCTTTTGGGGTGGGGGGGGGTGGTATCTGTATACTTCTATCTCAAGCTGGCTTCTTGTCAGAGTTAGCTTTGAGATATTGCTCTCAATCCATGTATAGTTAGCAATTAGGATGGATTATGAGTTGGAAAATTTTAATGTAGGCAACTAGATAAATTGACTGGTGGTACACACTGATCAATGTTGCTTTATTAGTTTACAGATCCAAGGATGGTACAGAGACCACTGGAAACAGAGGTCCTGTTGCATAACACTTTTTTTCAGGAAAGGTTACTGTTTATTTGTTAAGACTGTGTCTAATTTGGAGATACACAAATACATATCTCAGACATCACTCCCCGACTTTCTAAAGTACATCTCAGGCTGAATGATCTAAAAACTAGCAATCATTCGAGCTTCTTGAAGGTGCAATTTAGCTTCAGCTGTATGTGGGCACTGTTTGCAGATAAATCAGCCTGACCTGACTGAACTCATAAATATCCTGCAGAGAACTTCGATCAATTTGAACTCAGAAAAGACTCTGGCATTCACCACCCTCAGGGTTACAGCAAAGAGACTGAAATCATGGGGAAAACTAGTGCAATTACAAGTGCACAGAACAGCACTGGAGTAAATATCTGCAGAAAACAGGAATTATGTCCAAATTCACAGCATTTATTCCCTAAAATTGTGAAAATAAAGAAAGTATTATGCATTTAAAATACAGACCAGTGAATCAAGTGGCCATCAATCCTTTCACAGAAGGGATACAAAGCACATTACACCAAAACTGTACTCCCAAACTCTACAGGATAAACTGTCACTGGCATGACCACTCATCTAAAAAGCTGCCTTCACTGAGAACAATGTGACTGGCTACTGCTAAGGATGTAAAGGGCAAGTCTGCCATGGACAAAAATAGTTACATTTATAGTCTTCATTGTCCTTAACCTAGAAAATACACATCTTCTGAAGTCTGATAACACCAGGGATGGTTAAATAAAAAATTAATCTCAAATAAAGTGACCAGAATCTCTATTTTCCCTAACTGAACTACAATGCAAGCAAGTAATGTTGAGCTATGATTAAATGTAGCTGTGGTGCTTTACTTTTTAAATGAAATGTTCACTACCTACGGCTGTGCAAAACGCAAAACAACAACTAAGACAGTGAACTGGTGACTATGTTTACTGGCATTGCATATTTTATAAACAAAAGTAAGCCCTGTGCAACTTCTCCAGACTCCTCATGGTGCAGTCCCTTTCAACCTTTGAACAGCAATCTAGAAAAATAACCCTCAGCGTTAGCCAAATCTTTAATTCAGAAACTTTGCCCATTCCTCCATAACACACCCATACCACCCCCCAAAAAGTTGCCCTTAATTAACCCGTGACTTCTTTGGTACAAACTTCTGTCCCCCGCCCCGACAAGAGAATATCGATGTATGTTGTTGCAGATATTTATCGATACGTCCCAGCGATTTATTCTTAGCAATCGATCAGGTCGAATTTCAGACACCACAAGAATGTACTGAATGGGCTGGTTGGAATAAATAACGATAGACCTGAGCTTCCGACGGCTGGCTCCCTTTCACACTTACCTTCCCAGTTCCTTTCCCAGGAGAGTGTAATTACTGTGGAAAGAGTCGGTCCTTATTCGGGACAAAATCTTGGCCACCATCCCTTTGCGGTTCATCATTGCAGTCTCGGGCATTCACCACCGGTCTCAACAAGACCTCCCACTTATCAGTCAAAGCAATAGCCCAGTTCACAATAAAGTGGAGCTTGCAGACAGTTCAATACGATGGGAAATTTAGTTTCTTTCTCCTCGGTGCTGTAGCTTCTACTTTCTAATTAGTGCACTAGGTAGGAGCTAACAATTGTTTCTTTCTTTCTCTCTCTCTCTCTCTCTCTCTCTCTCTCAGTCTTTTGTTTCTGGGTCCTGCTGACTTGTAATTTCAGGCGATGGGGAAATTGTAAGGGATTGAGAAGCCTCCGTCCCCGGCGCAATGAACGACTGGGAGCTGAGGTTTCATTCAGTTAAGTGTCTCCAAGATTTCTAGCAACACACAAGTCGTGGCCAGGCATCAAAACACTTGAGGTCCAAGCGACATCATCCCCGAGAGAGCCAATCACAGCCTACACGGAAGCGGCTGATCTGCTGCAGTGGAGCGACACCAAAGATCCTGAGGCTCAAACTGCAAACTGCACCAAAATGTAGCTTAACATGTGCGCTAGCTTGGCATGTTACAAGCTTTAACTATGAAGTTGGGGTTTGCTCTACCTTCTTATTGTCAAAACCAAACCAGATCAAGAGTACGATCTTCACGGACTAAAAATAAAACAGAAATACTGCCGATGCTATAAGTCTGAATGGACACATGACTGAATGAAATCTGAATGACAAATCAGAAGTGACTGGACAAACTCTGCAGGTCTGGAGAGATAGCAGAATTAATTAAACATGTGGAGTCCAGTGACCCTTCTTCAGAAGCCTCTGGGACGCCCGTGTTTGCTAAAACAAGTCATTGAAAACTCTTGGAGACTGGAATTAGGGACTGAATCTTACCAGAATCAGCTAAATGTTATTTTTGATATAACAAGGTGTAGAGCTGGATGAACACAGCAGGCCAAGCAGCATCAGAGGAGCAGGAAAGCTGACGTTTCGGGCCTAGTCCATTTCTGAAGAAGGGTCTAGGCC